AGGGCGGCGTGCACGTGCTTGCAGCGGGCGCAGCCGACGCTCTTGAGCAGCTCGCTGAAGAGCAGCAGGATGTGCCAGTTGTACTTGGCGGAGCACTCCACGTAGCCGCACTTCCAGGTCTTGCGCACCAGGTGAGACACGTTCCAGCGCGGGATCACGCGTCCGCGCTGCAGGTCCCGCTTGTTGCCCACAATGATGATGGGCGTCTCTGAGGTGCCAATCACCCTGGGGGGCGAGGTGGGACTCTCAGAACTCCACCAGGGTCGCAGCCACTGGACTTCAGTGAAGGCAGGCTGTGCCTGGTCAATAACAGTGCTACCTTACGTCTGTTCCAGGCGCAGGGCTTAGCCCTGGAGTGACATGACATTCGCTAATCTGCACAATTGATCCAAAGGGTGGGTACTAGTGTTAGCCCCGTTTTACAGATGAGGAACCTGAGGCTTACACATCCACTGTCCTGGTCATGCAGCTGAGGGGCCCTGGCAGCCTTGTTCCCGGAGCCCCTGATCTAACCACTGTGTTAGACTAGCCACCCCCCCGTAAGGGTCCCAAAATGAGATAATAGAAATGGGGAACAGCAGAATGTCATGAGTGTGTGTGCGTTTGACTGGATGTGTGGGAACTGGAGGGGACTTCATCTGCCTCCCTCCACTGCACCCTTTCCGTGGAAGCTGGCTAGCACTAGGCGCAGTGATGGCGAATCTATGACACTCATTTTTTTTTGGTTGATTTTTCTTTGTTAAATGGCATTTAAATATATAAAATGAATATCAAAAATATAAGTCTTTGTTTTACTATGGTTGCAAATATCAAAAAATTTCTATATGTGACACGGCACCAGAGTTAAGTTAGGGTTTTTCAAAATGCTGACACGCGGAGCTCAAAAGGTTCGCCATCACTGCACTAGGGCATCCACTGGGGTGGCAATGGACCGTATCCTGGGTCCTCACCTTGTCTCTAGGATCTGCTGGCGGATGGTCTTGACGTACTCAAAACTGTCAAAGCAGCAGATGTCGTAGACCAGGATGTAGGCGTGGACACTCCGGAGTCCCCTGCAGCAGGCGTCTGCCCACTCCTGCAACACCCCCAGGTAAGGCCAAAGTTAGAGCAGCCACGAAGGTTCCCCTTGTCCCCAGCCACCTCCAGCCATAGATGGACAGCACTCTCACCTGCCACAGCACCCTAAGCCTTTCACACCCACCCATCCCCAGGAAGCCAGGGCCAGGGCAGAATGGAGCTCAGTGCTGTGATAGGGCAGGTCACACTGTCTGACCTCAAGGACCACTACATGGCCCTGTGCATATTGGGAGCTGTTGAAATGGTCTCTATCTTTTTAAAAAAAATTGATTTCAGAGAGAACGGGAGAGGGAGAGATAAAAACATCAATGATGAGAATCATTGATTGGTCGCCTCCTGCATGGCCCCCACTAAGGATCAAGCCCACAACCTGAGCATGTGCCCTGACTGGGGAATCGAACCATGGCTGAGTGGATGCTCAGCCACCGAAATAGTCTCTATCTTCCAAGGCTTAGCTCAAATGCCTCCTCCTCCAAGAAGCCTTCCTACAAGCAAGGGGCTACTCCCTTAATCTCCTGTGTGCATATACCTTGGTTACCACTGTTTCCATCTCTAGATCCCCACTTCTGTGAGCTCCTGAGAGAACCAGAACCAAGCCACCCTCATTTTTATGTAACTACTCCTCCTCCCCACTCAGTACCTTGCACACTGTGTTGGCTCCTAGCAGGCTCCTTATGGGCGCACTGCCTAACCTGGTGAGCTCTCCATGGTCCTGAACCCCACTTGGTACACGCTGGGATCAGCGCAACTCCTGTCTGTCACGCTGCCCTTAGATTGCTATCTGATGGTCCCCTTCTGTAGGTTCCACTCTGCCCTTGGACAGAAGGACTGGATACATAGTCGGGGCTGATGGACAGCAAGGCCCCAGGGAGCCGGAACTTCCTGAATGTTTGTGGCAAATTCTCAGGGTGGGGTTGCAGCTCAAGATGAATAGACCCATGGAAAGTCTGAGTGCACTAAAGAGAAAGTTCCTTAAGAATTAATTAGCTAATTAACTTGCCAGCAGATGGCAATTGCAAGAGCAGTTGAAGGCAGCCAGTGTGTGGAAAGAGCATGGACTCTGAAGCTGGGGGGGAGGTGGAGGTAGAGGCCTCCGGGTCAA